CCAAATTAGTAAATGGGGGGGAGATTGCCAGCCAGGAGGCACAAAGAACTGTTTGCACAAGGGGACAAGCCAAGACTATGATCAGTTGCTTCCCCAAGAACTTTCTTGCCCTGTTTCCTGGCTTAGTGGCCATGAAGGCCAGCACTACAGTCAGAGTTTTTGCCAACACAGATGAAATGGCAGTGGAGAAGACGATGCCAAAAGTGGTTTGTCGGAGGAGACAGGTGAGGTTCCTTGGCTGCCCAATGAAGAGGAAGGAACAGAGGAAGCAGAGCAGGAGGGAGACCAGGAGGATGTAGGTGAGATCGCGGTTGTTGGCCTTGACGATGGGAGTGTTGCAGTATTTGATGAAGGCTGCCAACATGAGGATTGTGATCAAAGAAAAGACAAGAGCTAGAGAAACTAAAACAAAGCTAAGTGTATCCTCATATGAGAGAAAGTTCACGGTCTTGGGAATGCACAGGATATGGTTCTTGCTGGGGTGTTGATCTTCTGGGCAGGAGATGCACTGAGCTGCATCTGGAAGAACAGGCACCAGGTAATGTTAGACAGAGAACCAGGGATTCTTTTTGAAGGGAATTGCTTTCCCAGTGAAGGAAGCTCAAATGAGCCAAAAGCCCCACTCTCCAGAGTAGCTGGATTACAGGCACCTGGCTATGCTACCCATATGCCCCATCTCTTTAATTCTGCTACACACAACACAGACAGGTTCAGTGAAATCAATCTCAGAAGATGTGATAGCACCTATTAACCTCTCAGCGGGAATTAATTATTTTATTTTATTTATCACATTTTAAAATTCCCATCTCCTATATCAAGGGACTCTGGACAGTGTTCACTAAAATATTAAAACATATATACAGTATATAAAAGTTACAACTGCTGCCCACAACTTAAGAAAGGATGCATTCAATGGACCACTCTTAAAAGTTCTGAATGACTTTCATGTTGATTTGTTCAACTGATTTGCCACCTCATATTGTCTCACACTCTTCCCCAAGCAGTCACACCACACCTCCTTTTTCCTGCTGGACGGTCTCCTCGAACAACTTGCCTGTTTCATTAGAAATGGTCCCTTCTGGGCAAGAAACACATCCATAGCAACAAGAGCGCTTTTTCTCTTCAACTTTCCTGGCTTGTCCTGGAAGGCAGCGCTTCACACACCGGGAGAAAGGCTTTGTCTGAAAGGAGAGTGAGATCAGCTTTGAGATGGAGAGGTTAGAAATATTCAGCTTGGCTTTGGGGTCTGCATAAAAGCAGCCCCTTTTCTTCCTTCCACTGAATAGAATTTCCATCACAACAACCTGGTCTTCCTCTCAGCTTTCCTGACCCCTGGAAACAACATCTACTCCCCACCTGACTGGCCCACACAATGGCATCGGGGTTGATGCTGAAGTCTTCAGCTGAAGGAGCCTCCGGATCTACCCATCCAACTTTCTGTTGAAGGATTGTCATATTTGCAAAGACAACCCAGTTTAGGATGTCAAATCCTGCATATTTCATCCCAGTTTCTGAAAAGGAGACTTCTTCCCCAGCGGTATTGTTGAAAAGGATGTTTCTCAAGAAGACGTGCATCTGGAATTGCAAAACAACCAACCAAAGTCCATAAAAGGAAGAGACTGTATATCAAAGTTGCAATCAAGCTGTAGATTGAGGCAAAGTTCTATTTGTGGAGCTGCTAGATCTTCAGCTTCAAGGACTGAAACTACAAATTATTCCCAAGGAAAACTAGGTGCTTGGAAATATAAATAAGTAAAATTCCAAATTACTTCTTTGCAAAATATTTTTGGTTAACTGAGAGTAATGAATGAGATGCACCAATATTGCATGTCGCTGCAGTTTTTGGCAAGAGGCATTGATGTCCTTCATAGGTACAGAAGGGCTTTTATTGTCCCTAACCCAAATCTTTAGCACTTGTCTTGATCACCAATCATACAATCAAAGTACAGTCTGTTTATTTGTTTGTTTATTTAATTTCTTAACAGGTCCATTCTTGTCTTGCCTTTGAGGCTTAAGCATGTACTCACCACAAATGTAGCAGAAATTAATGGTGCCCTTAATACACACTTCATCCTATTGACTAAAATGGGTATGAATCCTATTAATTAATTAACTGATCAAGGAGAGATTCAACCTAGAAAGAAGGAGAAATTTCCTGACAGTGACAACCATCAACCAAGGGAACAGAAGTTGCCTTCAGAAGTTGTGGGAGCTTCATCACTGGAAGCCTTTAAGAAGAGACTGGACTGCCATTTGTCAGAAATGGTGTAAGGTCTCCTGCTTGGGCAGGGGGTTGGATTAGATGACCTACAAGGTGACTTCCAACTCTATTAATCTGTTATAAAGCTGTTTCCTTGACCAGAAGGGAAGAGCTGAAGAGTTACCTGCCAGGGCTTCACACAGAACAATTGTGACATCTTTTTGCCCCTCTTCAATGCCCATTGTGATTCCACCATATATGCGTGTAATGCATGTGCCACAGAATAGGCAGCATTGTAGATGCTGTAGCTGAAACCGGTCACCTTTCCATCAAAGACGGAGGCCGGGAGAGTGGCCAGGTTCTCCTCCCCTGTGCAAACCCTTCGGCCATCAGGTGAGGACAGACCTGCCTTCAAAACCTCACAGTCAAATACAACTTCCCACCAGCTGGGGAGAAAGACATCTCCGTGGGGTTCATGTGGATTCAGAGCCCATAGATAATCTTTGAATCCTGGCACTGGGTTTGTATGGACTGTGATAGACAAAGCACCATGGAAGGATTTTAGTTTCCCCCACTCGTAGTGATAGCCAATAGCTGAAAATTCCCACTGGGTGGTCAGGAGCCAGACCTTCCCAGAAGAAGCATGGTACTCTTCTTCATAAAAGGAGAGGGATAATAAAAGGCTTTGCAGAGCACTTGAAACCCCTGAGATAATCACAACCTGAGCATCACTGTTCAAAATGGTCCAAAGCACATCTATTTGTTTGCTGTTCAATTCATTGAATATTAAGATTTGGGGTAAGATCTGTTTTACAAATTGTATGCAAATGTCATTCTGGGCAAGCGTTGCGTCAAAAATCTGGATGAACTGGTCACTGCTCTCTGACTTCTGAACAACAATCCCAATCCAGTTCCATTGGAAATACAGAAAGAGCCGGACAATGGCTGCATTCTGTAGGTGATACTGGGGATCGATCTGGTAGAAAGTGGGGAACTGGTTCTTATCCTTCAAAACAGGGTCAGAGAAGCGGTAACCTAGCTGAAAGGAGGGTGGAGATGGAGGAAAAAGAAGAGGTTAATGTTAGTTTGTTGCAGAAAATCAAATCCAGTAAGCACACACAGATAACTGATTCATTAACTTCTTTAAATACATAATAATATGAAGTAAAGTTACAATACCAACAGCAGATTCTTCCAATATGGTAGAGAGGAGAAATTTTAAGTAAGTTCTTAGTTTCAGTTCAGCAGACAGACAAGTCCAGACTAGCTTCATTTTCAAGCTGAGCACAGAGCTAAGCCACAACCCAGATTCCTCCCTTCAGTTTCTTTTTTTTTTTAAAACAAGTTTTATTAAAAGTTTCAACAACAAACAAATCATTACATATTAAATCTTTCCCTGTCTTTCTACAATAATTTCCCCAATATTCTCATAAAACACAAACAAACACAAACAAACATAAAAAAATCTTTTAGTAAAGTACCTTGGCCCCAGTTACCTCTCTTTGCATGGGCTAAAATAATAGCGCATATCACTCTTCACAATTCTATCTTATTTAATCCATCTTAATTAAATCATTAAATTTGTATCTTTTGCCCATTCATTATCCCTCTATCTCTTCTTATAATAAAAAGAATTTCTCCTGGAATCACTAATCAGAGTATGATGCCTTTCTATCCTCCCCCTAAGTTAGTAAAATTAACATTCAACATAACAAATACCCAATTTGGTTCTGCTTGGTACATTCTATCCACCAAAAATGTTTAAATACATTGTATCCTCCTTTCCTTCGATATTTTATTACATTTTAAAAATCAATCATTATTAAAAACTTCAACATTTTAATTTCTTATTAAATCTTAAACCATTCTAATTTACTATTTCAAATATAAATGTTACAATACCATCTTCTGTACCTTAGCAGAATCTTTCTTACAGAAATTTATATTTCATCCTTTGTCTCTAAAAAAAATCCCTCTTCTCCCATCCAATTTTAAAGCTTTGAGGCTTTTCTCCGCCTTTCCCCTTTCTTTCTTCCCCCACCAAATCTTCCTACCCCCCCTTCTTCTTCTAACCTCTGCCTTGCTGGGATCCCTTCTCTGTTGTATTCCCTTTTTCTCTTGTTTGTTATCATTATATTTACTTTGCATCATATTTTTCTCTTTCTCAAATGTTTTTTTAGATCTTAAGTCCTTCATTTTCCTTGCTCTCTTCCTTCCTTCTTCCTTAGATAAGTTTTGGGATTCAATGAAGATGGCGTCTTCGTCTCTTCCTTGTTGTTCTTCTTCCGTTTCCATCTGTTCCATTGTCTGTTGGTAATTGACCAGCGCCATTTCTAGAAATAGAAAAGCTTTTTCCATGCCATCTTTGCAGGCTGCTTTTGTTTGCTCATATTCATCCCTCAGGTCTTCAAAAAGGAAAGCCATTATAAATAAATCTTTTCTTTTCTTTATTCCTCTTTCTTCTTACACCAACCAAATATTCCGAGAGAAAGGCAAAACAATCCCAAAATCCACAATCCTCAATAAATCCAAGCAAGCCAAAATTCCCCCTTCCTCTTCCAGGGGTGGTATCAAACAAATAAAAAAAAAGAGTCCAAATCTATATTTTAAAGCCTTATTAAGATTATATTTCTGTCCTCAAGTCTTCAAGGCATCTCCTCCAACAAGATCCAAATTTATATATTTTCTTTATCCTCTCCCTTCCGGCTTAATTCCGTCGGGAGGGAGAGTAAACTTTCCTTTCAGCACCTCAAAATAGCCGCTTTTTTTTTTCTCTTGTGGAAAAAATCATCAAAAAACCATCTTTTCCAGGAATTAAATTAGATAAATCTCAAAGCCCTGGGTCGACCAAGAAGAACTTTCACTTTCAATAACTTTCTCTTCTTCCTCCTGCGCATACTTGCCCGGCTGTCAACTTCTTTGTGGCGGCCATTGCGGACCGCCGCTGCACCGTCCTGGTAAAAGGGGGTTCTGCCGGCCAGGGAGGGGGTCTGCAACACCCCCAAACCCTTCCTCCGGATCCCCCTTACCTTCAGCTACCCCTGCAGGGCAGCCTTGCTCCGCACCCGTCCGGGTCGGAGCCCCAAAACGGCTAGCGCGGCAGGGATCGCGCAGCTTCGCGAATCCCTACCGCTCGCGAAGCCGACAAACCGGAAACTCCCCTCCCTTCAGTTTCTGTTTCCCAAAACAGCCGGGGAAATGGAACCTGTATTTTTTGTTACTAACCTCAAACTATCTAGACTAGAAGGGTATCTTATTCTAGAGCCAAATCCCCCCAAGTTTGCACCTTCATAAGCTGTTTTCTTTCAGTCGCAGAATTGACTCTGGGATTTGTTGGCAATAACCACACAAGGCCAAACTTACAGCATTCCCCCTTTCATCATGGTACATGTCCAAATACCTGAGAAACCTTGAAATTGCCAAACACGGTTGCCATCTGGTATGAAGTTCTGGAGCTGAGACCACCAAGGACAGAGAGAAGGTTGTCCTGTGTGTCACACTTATAGTTAGGAAACACTTTTCCTCGACTGGAGAGCAGAGACAGGCTGACATCTGGAGTCATGCTTGCATAATGGTTCTCTTCGTAGATGCGGAAGCCCAGAGTGATGTTGGGGAGAAGCTGTGGGTCTTTGTTGATCTCCTGGATGGCAAATGCCAAAGCCAGAATGTGTTGGTAGTTCTTGGGAACAGGTCTTTGTTGCAAGTGTTAGAGGACAAAAATTAGACAGGAGCAGGAGGTAGATGTTTATTCTGTCATTTCATTACCTAAATTCCAAGAATTGATCATGAAACAGATCAGTAGAAATTAGTTGATTTGTTTTCCTGCTGTCAGAAAACAGGGTTGCTGTCAATCAGTTGATACTATTGTCAAAAGTGTGTGACAAATCCTCCTCTCCCTCTTTCCACAGCACATTTTAAGTGAGTTACAATTTACAGCATGAGCTCAGAGCACTGACTTTTCCAAAATGAACTTTTGAGTCCAGTTAAGGAAATCTGGCTGACCGTCTTGATAAAACTACACCATTTATTATATCCAGTCATGGAGATATTAAAAGTTGATATCTTCTGTCCTATGTTCCCAAGCACTTTTCCCCAATCTGGTACCCTATCATGTCCTCAGAGTCCTTTGGAATTAGGTGGCTTTATAAATCCAATAAATTGAATTAAATTGAATGTCTGAGCAGGTTGTTTTTTTCTGGCTAGAAATGATGATGCCAATATATCTGGATGGCCCCCCAGTTAGAAAAAGCCGTCTTAGTGTCTCAGAATGTGGAACACTTTCTGTTGGGGATTCTCCAAAGAAGCTCCCTCAACTGATCTAGAAGTGCCCAGGATTAACAGGAGATTGGTGGGAAGCCAGCTTGGTGGGACAAAAGACAGACCTCACTATGTAAAATGTAATGCAGGTATGACAGATCCCAAAGGTGCTTTTTTTTCAAGAGGCCACAGGACTTTCTTGTTTTTCTTTTGAAGATGTTTCATTTCTCATTCAAGAAGCTTCTTCAGCTCTGACTGGATGGTGGAGAATGGAAGGATTTATACTCCTTGCAGACAATTGGTAATCTGCATTCTTTTAGAGGGTCATTGAAGCACTTGGAAAAAATTGCAGACTACAAGAGCCATTTGCACCACTCAGGTGACCCTGAGGACACAGATAAACTTCTAACAGCTTCAATGACCCTCTAAAAGGATGCAAATGACCAGCTGTCTGCAAGGAGTATAAATCCTTCCATTCCTCATTATCCTGTCAGAGCTGAAGAAGCTTCCTGGATGAGAAATGAAATGTCTTCAAAAGAAAAACAAGAAAGTCCAGTGGCCTCCTGAAAAAAACACCTTTGGGACAACCATGACCAGAATGATTGAGAATCTCTACAGACTTTTATGCATGAAAGATGGTGTTACAAACCATCAGAGTAATGAGATGGGAAGATGAATTCAGTCCAGCAATAAGATAGAGGACCCTGCATTATTTCTCCCCAAGTTCAGGCCAAATTGTCCTCTTGACAAAGTGTACTTTGCCTTCAGGAACATGGAGAAAAGATTGGCTCCCTATTGAGTGTGACAAGCTTTTCTTCACTACTGAAGACTCAGAGGGCTCAAGATGGGAATTAGAGGGAGATTGATTCATCAAAGAGAATCAGTGTGTCCTAACTAGGAAAGTTCCACATCAAGAGGCTGGGTGGGATTTAAATCTTCCCCATCTTCAAGACTGCCCTTTCCATATTGCCCTAAAAAAAGGACAACCAAGAAACACTTACAGAGAAAGGTTATCCCAATCACCAGGAGGCTCGTGTGGGAGCTGTAGAACTATAGTTAGGGAGAGAGGGAAGTTTCCACCGATAGTAAGATCTCCAGGTTTGTAATAGTCTTTTTGTTCTTGGAAAGGTCTCCTCCAGAAGCAGTTTGGCCTTATGCCAATCTGGACAGCTGCAGGCAATGTCCAAAGCAATGCTAAGAGTGAAATCATTGGTCTCTGAAAGAGACTATTGTTCTCCCTACAGCAAACCAAAGGAGGGTTTTGCAGAAAAGTAAAGCTCTGGTAACTTCAGAGGAGGTTTAAATCTTCATGATAAGCAATCATCTAAGCTCCAAATGTAAAGGGACCTTGCTATAGTATTTGGAGCTTGTAGATAAACATGTTTTCACCATAACCTCTTTAGGCTTAGGGAGGATTAAATCTGTGGAAATCCACTGAGATGAAGTAAGAATTACTAGTGTTTGATGAATCTCAAAGGAGGGAAATGTTGACCTTATCCCCATAACTCTGGAGTCCGTGCCATTTTCACAGGAGGAAAACCTATTTGTGAACCCACAATTGTGTCTCTCAATCTGTCAATTGGGCAACTGTGACTAGAATTTGTTGAGAATTTGGGGTCACCTAGTCCGATCCTCTTAATGTGGGGGTACATGCGAGGCAAACTCTTTTAAATTCTGAGATCTCTTTGGAATTTACAATTTCTGCTGCCACCACCAAACTCTTTCAAGATTGAGAAACACCCTGGGACTCCCTGGAATAACTCACCATGGCCTTTATCTTAGTATTGTTTCCCTAACTGGCCAATGGAGATGTGTTTCAGCTATGGGGTACCTGGATAGTTTTTCATAATCAAAAGCTTTCTTCTTTTCTTTATGACTTAGATGCATTCTGCCCAATCTCCCTATCACTCGAGTGGGTCATTAATATTTTAAACAAGTATTTCAAAATGAACTGTTCTTACTGATGGAGGATTTCCTGAGGACGGGATCCAGATCTTCTCTCAGGCACAACATTCTGCTCTACATCATTCTTCAGTCCGCCCCCGTCCCCCCCCCCCCCGCTTTGCAGTTTGAACCAGGAAGAGTTCCTTTCCTTGAGTGACAAGTATAATACCCAATCATAACACTATAAGACATCTGCATTTGCAGTGTCCCAGAGAGATGATGTGATGACCCAGGGTGTGGCACAAAGGCAACACAGTCAAATAAGCCAGAAGAGTCCCTTTATTATCTCTAACTTTGCCCCCAATATCCAGGTTACCTTTGGTTGGAGAAAAACTCCCCAGGAACAGCATTTAACTGTAGAAAATTCAGTCCAAAACAAGGTACATGCAAACTGTAACTAAAAATTCAAAGAAACCAAGCTGAAGTAATTAGCTTGACAGGGCAGGAGAAGGAATTGCAGACTTTAAATCACGGCAAAACTCACACAGTTGGGAAGACGCCAGGAACACAGATAAGCCATGGCAATACAAGATAAATTCATGTTTACTCCCAACAACTTGCTGCGTGCAGCTTCCTCTTTTATACACTGTGTTCCCAGCTGCAGCTAATGAAGGAATCAGGCCCCTTTCCTCCCCCATAAGCCATGCAACTCACGTTGCTCCCTTCTCCGTTCCTCCCTGCATGCCTTAGGATGAAGAGGGGGTGGGCCTGGGTCTTCTTTTGAATTCCCTCTCCCTTGCTCTACTTCTCCCCTGCTCTGCTCAGACAGACTTTGCCCTTCCCCAGTTTCTTCCACAGCCAATGGAGCCACACTCCCACTCCCTGTCAGCTGTTCGGCTTCCCCCTCCGAGTCAGATTCTGATGGGGGTATGACAGATAATGGATGCCCCATTGTACATCCTCCTCCTCATCATCATCCATATCATCATGCCATCAAGCAGGGCATCCCGCTGAACCACTTAGAAAGGTTTTAGATATGAAACCTGGCTGTGCTCTCATTCCACTCAGGGACAGTTTCAGTGGTGGAACCCCCCAGGGGGTTCTGCTATGTGGGGTACTTCTGGGTCACCCTTCTCTCTCACTCTCTCTATCCCTAAGCACTCTTGTAAGTTCAGGAAACATCTACAACTATCACACAACTTTGTCTTCCTTCCTCTCTGCCCAAGACTGAACAATTTTCTAACTGTTCCATTAATTCATACCCATCAACCCATCCCCTGAAAGCAGAAAAAAATAGCAGGGGCAGGAGAAGATCCTTTAATATCCACTTCACACGGCCTGGTTTATTAATGAAGCACATTTATCTAGTCATACATTTTAACGTTTTGCATTAAAAATATACAACAAGAAATAGTTGAATGAAAAAATTAATAGAGAATTCTGCAATGCCCCAAGAGCTTATGTGTACAAGTATGCTGTCAACATTAGTATTTCTTTATTATTTCTGCATGGATTTTCTTTTCCACTGTATCTGTAACCTGACTTGATGCTGCTTTTCAAAGATTCCTCATTAAAACAAATCAAGGGACAAAAGCTTTGCTGGAAATCAACATTCACGTCTTCAAGGACAATCTATATTACAAAGTTGGGGACACACCTTCACTGGGAACAAGTGGCTTTCATTGAAAATAAAAGGGTGGGTGACTCTTTCAGATTCTTTATTAAATTTTAGGCTGCCCATTTCCCCTACACAAGGTATAACAAACCTACCATGCCAGGAAAAAAAATCCAATGCCAAACCACAAGACCAAACGAAAGAAATCCCCACCAATGAACCACAAGACTCCTGCACATGCCTTATATGTAAAGAAACTTTAAAGGAGAATAAAAATTCCATCAAATGTTCCCTATGTGACATCTATGCTTACCATGGCTGCTTGGGATTACCCAAGCAAATGGTTCAATTCATAGAATCATCCAACCATCCATTTCCATGTTTCTGCCCACCGTGCACACTCAAACTGGACAAATATATTGCCCTATTCGAAAGAGTTGATACTGTAGACACAACACAAAGACACACACACAAAAAAAGACACAACACAAAAAAACGAACATCCAATAGCCACAAACCACATCCCTACCCAACAACCATATCCACAACCCAATCCACAAAAAAACACAAATCCAACAAATAATGATATCCCAATCCTCATCAAAGAAGCCATCAAGTGCCAACGGAAGCATCCCAATGCCATCTTATTTGGTCTAGAGGACAACAATGACAATGATGACATCACAAATGTCCACAATGTCATCAGTGGCTATCAAACATCAACCATCTCTCCTGATGAAATACTCAACATTTCCCGCATCGGCCCAGAGTTCAGAAACAGTGACAGCTCAGTGGCCCCACGCTTCTGCAGGGTCATTTGCAAAAACGAATCAAGCAAACAAAAATTAATTTACATTATAAATTCACTCTCCAAGAGCAACACCAACCATAATAATCTCCATTCTCACCCTGACCTAACCTTACAGCAACATGTACGATTCCATGAACTTCACTCTGAACACAAAAGACTCCATGAACAAGGAAATACGAACCTATACATTGACTACAACACAGAATGTATCAAAAACAAGACCTTCAACTTACATCCCATTAACCATCACCCCAACATCCAACGTTACGCATGCACGCCCTTACTTCCTCCAGACCCACTACTACATATCTAAAATGCAAACTACTCAATGCAAGAAGTCTTGCAAACAAAATGCATGAATTCCTCATCTTATTAGGTATGACCACATTTGACATTATATTTGTCTGTGAGACATGGTTAAATGACTCTTTTCCAGACTCCATTACCACAGACAGCAAATATCACATTTATTGGTCAGATCACGAAATCCGTAGAGGAGGTGGAGTTGCTATCTTCTACAAAAAATCCCTAAATCTAAAAAAGATTCAAATTACACAGGGGCTTGCTCTTCCAGAGAATATCATCTGTGAACTGTCCTTAAGTACCACAAATCTGCTTCTTACTATGCTACAGAGCCCCTGATTATGACATACTTCATGCAAGCAAGCTAACTTCACTGCTAATGTGGACTGCCTCTTGCCCATACCCTTTTATTTTCCTTGGTGACCTCAATCTACCTCTTATAAATTGGACCCTAAATGAATGTATATCTGAACCCATACATGCAACCCTGTACAATGTTGTTACTACATCGGGAATGGATCAATTAGTAACTAACAACACTAGACTCAACAACTGCCTCAACCTCATCTTCTGCAACAGCTCAAACTCAATATATGGCCTACAAATACAAGAACCCTTTTCAAACAGTGACCACAGTATGATCGACTTTTGTCTCAATTTACGCTCTCACAAAGTGGATCATAATGATGGATCCCCAAAGTATAACTTCAAGAAAGCCAATTATGATCTCATAGATGCCAATCTATTATCTCTTGATTGACACATTCTGTTCTCTAGCTGTAAGACTACTGAAGACCATTATAATGCATTCTTCCTTGAACTTGAAAGAGTAATTAAACTATATGTAACCCCACAAAAAAAATATTACCCATAACAATAAGGAAACTGTCAGCTTTGGAAGCCATTTTGACACTAGATGCTTCCACACTGCCACATTCTTGAGCCTGGGAAAATGGGAGGGGGGAATTTCTTGGAGTTTATGTGGTTAGTCATAATGGTTAGTCATAATAGCATTCTTCTTCTAAGTCAAGGTCACATTATTCTGCACATATGGAGCTGGAAAGCAAGTTAGTGAGGTGAGGAGGGAATGAGGATTTTACAGTAATCTTCCCATGGAGTGGGGTGGAAATGGAAATTTTACAGTATCCTTCCCCTGCCATGCTCACCAAGCCACGCCCACCAAGCCACACCACACCACACCACACCCACCAAGCCATACCATACCCACCAAGCCATGTCCAGAGAACTGGTAGTAAAAAAAATTGAATACCACCATTGGCATCAGGCCACCCTTCAGTGTCTTCTGGGCAACCCCTACTAGTCCCTGTGATGGAAGGAGCCCAAGTTCATGCCACCCTGCAGGTGGTAGGGTGCCGTCTGGTTATGTGTTGGTCTGGGAAGACTTTGAATGCTACATTTGATGGTTGGCCAGAGAAGCTCACCTACTTCCTAAATCAGGTGTGGAACTACCTGGATTGGTACAGAGAAGTCTTCCCTGATGAGGGGGCCATCGTGAACATCACCACTGTGAACCTGGAGGAAGAGGCCACTGAGTGGGTGGTGGCATTCCATGAGAAGGGAGTTCTGGAACTGGGAGATATAGACGCCTTCCTGGAGGGGCTCCGGGCCAAATTCAAAGACCCCTGCAGGCCTGTTGGCAGAGTCCAGAATCCATTCCATAAGGCAGGGAAGTCAATCAGTGGCTGAGTACATTTGGGAGTTTCACAGCCTGGCTGGAAGACCAAGAGATTGGCTAGAGCACTTATTACTCTACCACTTCCGAGACAGATTAACTGTATCAGAATTGCCTGGGGTGGGGTGGGGATCCTGGATGACCTCCATGTGTGGTATCAGCTGGCTACTGTTAGAACTGGACCTGTTGGAGTACAGGCAGCACACAGTGCAAGAGAACCACCCTCGCTGAGGCCAGGAGAGGCGCCAGTCAATGCCCAGAGAGGGAGGAACCCCTCCGTCGGCCACTAGAGAGGGCCAGGGATGTCCCACAGGGGCCTGATTCTGATGCGGAAAGGAGGGCCATTGGGCTACTAACTTCCCAGCCCTCCAGCCAGAGGTGGGATTCTACCGGTTCAGACTGGTTCAGGTAAACCGGATGTTAAATTTGCATCTGGTTCACCAAACGAGTATTTGAACTGACCGGCTGGTCCCATCCCACCCACCCCTTCCCTCCCCTCCCCTCCCAGGAATCTCCACGCACCCCATTTTTGATGCAGGTAAGTGCAGAGTCTGCTCTGGGAGGGGGAAAAATGGGCTTCCGGAAGTACTGGAAGTCTGGAAATAGGCCTGTTTCCAACCCTTCCACAGGCCCGAGGGAAGCCTCCAAATCTTTGGGAAGGCAAAAAAATGGCCCTTCCAAAAGTACCAGAACTCCAGAAATGGGCCTGTTTCCAGCTTCTGGAGGGCCTCCAGAGCCTGGGGGAGGACACTTTTGCCCTTCCAGAGATTCCAGAGATTCTGAGATTCCAGAGGCCTGAGACTCCAGACTCTGGGGAAGGCGAAAGACGGCCCTCCCAGAAGTTCTGGTAGGCCGTGCCCACAATGGCCACACCCACCCAGCAACTGGGCAGCGAACCAGTTGCTGGGATTTTTGAATCTCACCTCTGCCTCCAGTCTGTATCGGTGCCAAAATCACCAAGCCAATCAAAGCTGAAGAAAACAGGGGTTTTCAATTCAATGTATGTGAAGGATATGTGTTTGTGTTTATTTTCATAGTCATAATGTACACTGAAGATGGTATTTGATTTCATTGTAATGACAATAAACTAAATTAAACTAAACTAAACATTGAAGAAGATGGAGAAGACTCGGGTTGAGCAACAGGTCGATCTTGGCTATGTTCCAACTCCCCCGTACTTACCAAAGAGATGGTATTTATTGTGTGGAAAATGTCCTTTCACACTTTCCAGCCTCAGGAGGTCCACCTGCAATGGGGAATCTAACTACATTTCATGCAATTCCAGTTGTCCAAAACTACACATCACAAATCCAAGGCAGTGCCCAAAAGTCGGTACCCCCACTGAGAGCTCCCCACTTCTCAGTAGATATGATTACTTCGTAGGAATGTTAAATGTCAGAGATATTTATAGGCCTGCAATTTCCATCATTGGTGCACCAGCTTTTGCAGCCTATGCCTTTCTTAATATGAAAAAAAAAATCTGGCTTCTATAGTTACAGAATGTATACATAAGACTTGAAACCCTACAAGTCCCTTAAATGAGCAGCAGGAATGTCCAAGAATGGCAACCTTGCAAAACTAGCTGGTCGTTGACTTTGCCTTATTTAAAATGGGCCACGGCTATGAGGAAGTTGACCTCTAAGAAGTCAAAAGGAAAAATGGACAGTGGGGAAAATCAGTTTTCAGTGTGATGAGAGTAGGTAATATACAAATTGAGAAATTTTTAAAAAAGTGTTCTTGCATCCCACTGAGCCCCATTGTAATTCTTCCCAGAACATCCCTAGAGCAGCCTCTGAATCCCTGGATGCAAATGTTTATTTTAATTAAGCTCTCTGTAGGTAATAAAAGAGTAGGAAGAAACCTGAAATCCATTACAGTATTACTTAGGAATATGCATGCATGAATCAATTGCCCTTCCTTTCTTACACCATTTTCTCTGTTGTGAACTGTATAAATATCAGTGCATCTCTTTGTTCTCTAAGGGAACCTAGTTATCATAAAACATCATCTTTACCGAGAACCTCTGAGATATGACATGGCACAAGGGATTGTTAAAATAATGTGTGTGTAGTGATATTATTTTCTAATTGCAACCACAAAACTCCACCACACAACAGAAGTTGGGAATTTAATCTCTATTATATATAAAAAAGAAAGGAATAGAAACAGGAAATTGTACAAAGCTTTGGAAGACTATGGAAACAATTATATACACAGAGAAACATTGATATGGAACCTAACCTTTTAAAATACCAAAATAATGAAAGATTTAATTAAAAGAAACAAAAATTAGAACATATCCTTCTTGGAATTGTGGGAAATGAAAATATAGTCTATTTATCTATTGGATTTAATGAGGCCTAAGTGAGTAGTAGTAGGTTCCAAGAAAGAGACATGAACCAAAGTCTTCAGCTAGGATGGTTTCATAATGGCTCCATTCAAAATCCAAGAAAGAAAACCTTAGACTCCATTGTTATAGAGAAAAGGACTTTTACTGGAAATTAAAGTGGTAGCATCAGAAGAATACAAGATCTGAGGTATTAGGCATGAAAATCACATATATAAAGATGTTGTGGCTCTGAGGTTTGAGCCTGCTTTATTAGAGGACGAAGACTTGGACAATGGGGAAGAGGAGGTTTTGGAAATGCCTTCCTCCCCAGGGCCATCCTCCCCAGGACCTTCCTCTTCGGCAATGCCTTCCTCCCTGATTGTGCCTCAGGTGTTGGCAGATAACTGGGAGGGAAGACCTGAGGCTAATCAGAAAAAGGAGGAGGGCGTATCAGAGTCTCTGACTGAGAATCAAGCAGAGGAATGCTGGCTTGATGCGAGGCAGCGTCGCAGGCAAAAGTGCGAGCTGCAACGCAGAAAGAAGGGACGAATCAGAGACTGAGCTGAGGGACTGACACGCCCGACAGGGAATAAAAGTGGGTGTGTTCACTCTGGGAACTTGTTCGGGACAACGTGTGACTTATTCAGAGGAGCTCCGGAGTATCCTGTGTGGTGACAGCTTGTGTGATTTATATTCCTGCTTTCTTTTCGGACTTGGCAGACAGCATGTGAGAGACTGCCAAGAACTTTATCAGCTCAAGGAATTTAACTCTATAATTACTGGATTTGCCTGCTTGTTTGTATTCAGTTGGAAATTTGGACTTCTCACCTCTTTTGTACAGGTGAGACATAACATAAAGATATGCCAATATTCCCATCCCCAATAGTTAAACTGGCCATCCAATCTGAGATGCGTATAATGTCAAATAAGAATTGTTGTCTTGGGTTGCTGCCTTTTGTTTCTTTCATTGGATTTTTCCACAACAGTTTAATGAACTTGTATTCAACAGCAAGCTTTCTTTCTACATAGAGCACTGGCCCTCAACGTGGACAACTGGAAGACATGAGATCAAAAGGGGCTGCATGATTATTCCTGATAGCAGGATTATTTAAGTATTTATTCATTGACTGATTCATTCAATTTATATATCTGCCCACTTCAGACTACTGACTCTTACTGTAATTAGTTATAGCACTTGACAAGGCATTATTTAATGCACATGTTTCTCTTTCTCTGTCATCATGCTTAAGAAATGCAGAGAGGAGCAACCAAGATGATTAGGGGACTGGAGGCTAAAACATATGAAGAATGGTTGCAAGAATTTGGTATGTCTAGTTTGATGCAAAGAAGGACTAGGGGAGACATGATAGCAGTGTTCCAATATCTCAGGGGCTGCCACAAAGAAGAGGGAGTCAAGCTACTCTCTAAAGCATCTGAGGGCAGGACAAGATGCAATGGGTGGAAACTGATCAAGGAGAGAAGCAATTTACAACTAAGGAGGAATTTCCTGACAGTTAGAACATTTAATCAGTGGAACAAATTGGCTCCATAAATTGTGAATGCTCCAACAATGGAAGTTTTTAAAAAGATGTTGGATAACCACTTTGTTGGGCTCGGCGATCCAACCACGATCTAACCAGTGTCCAAACATTCCCAACACACAGTCCAAGGGCTGACAAGTGTCCCGACATCCTCCCCAGCAGTTCAGGGGAAGTAATGACGGCCCATCAGCTGTTGTGCGGGGCGGCTCCTGAAGTTGCTGCAGATTGCTGAAAATTCCTGATTTCTGAAGAATGCAGGCAGTTTGGGGACATTAGATGTGCCAAGGGGTGGCTCCGCAAACCAGACTGTTTAGTCATTTAATCCTTGTTAAGATGATGGATCTGTGGAGTTGGGTTAAGGGGAAGGTGTGAGCTGCGATATGCTGGAAAAAGAGAGGATGTGGCCTGTAAGGGTTAAGGGGAGGAAGAGATAGGTTCAATCGATTAGGCATGGGGTGGAGGCATGGACTTAATTAATGGGCGGATGTTAGGTTAATGGGGAGGGGAGGATATAAAGACACCATGGAGGGCAATTGCTCTCAACGCTGACTTTGCACAGAATATCATTGCTGTAGTTACTGATCGTGATTGGAAGACCTGCAATAAACTCTACCATCGTATATCATTACTTGTGAGTAACGTGGTTTATTGGAAAAGGTGTCCAGTGCTCGACAGGATTTGACACACTTGTCTCAAGTGGTGTAAGGCTTCCTGCCTAGGCAGGGGGTTGGACTAGAAGACCTCCAAGGTCCCTTCCGACTCTGTTATTCTATTCTATTTCTATTTTAAATGTAAAAAAAAAAACATGCTTCAAAGAAAAATTTAAAAGTTTCCCATGTGTGCATCAGAGATTTTTGTTCCTTATCATATTTTCCCTACAGTTAAGTTGGGGTCTCAGTAGGATAATGTAACATTTGGGGGAAAAGATGCAAGCCAAGAGACCAGCCCCAGAGGCCAAGATGGAGAAGATCTCCACAGCCACCATGGATTTCCCTTTGGTGCTCAGGTAGGTGGGGACGAAAGTGATCCAAACACTGCAAAAGACCAGCATGCTAAAAGTAATGAACTTGGCTTCATTAAAACTATCAGGCAATTTCCTAGCCAGAAAGGCCACTGTGAAACTGATGAGGGCCAGGAATCCCAGGTAGCCAAGGACAGTGTAAAACATTGAAGTTGAGCCTTCCTTACATTCCAAGATGCCCTCTCCTACCAAGGAGTGGAAGTCCAAGTTGGGAAATGGGGGAGAGGTTACTAACCAGATGGCACAAAGAAGGGCTTGGACCAGGGGACAAGCTATGACAATGGAGTTGGTCAATGGCTTTCCTAACAGTTTCCTTGTCTTGTTCCCTGGCTTGGTGGCCATGAAGGCCAGAACCACCATAACAGTTTTTGCCAACACAGAGGAAACCGCAAGGGAAAAGAGAATGGCAAAGGCAGATTGTTGGAAGAGACAGGTGATCTTCCCTGGTTGACCAATGAAGAGGAAGGAGCAGAGGAAGCAGAGCAGGAGGGAGAACAGAAGGATATAGGTGAGATCTCGGTTGTTGGCCTTAACAATCGGTGTGTCACGATGTTTAAGGAAAATTGCCAGAACTGCCATTGTGATCATGGAAAGAGAAAGAGTGAGAAAAACTAAAGTGTATCCCAGGGTGTCTTGATAGGCAAGGAAGTGGATCTTCTTGGCAATGCATTGGTCCTTTTCCTTGTTGGTGTATTGGTCTTCAGGGCAGGGGTCACAGCGAGGTGCATCTGAAATTAAGAAATCAAGCCCAAAATTGACATATGTGTAGCTATTTTAGTTAGGCTTAGTATATGTTCTTTTTCTTACTTTCTCTGTGGCAGTCATGGGGTAAGAGTTTTGGGCTTGCCACATTCCTAAGCGGGGAGGAGTGGAGATTAAGATAGTGTTTTGGCTAGGTGATCTTTCTTCCCATGGGAAATGAGCTATCCATGCTTGGACCCCCTTGAGGTGGAGATTTATAACATCAAGCAACATTGAATTACTTCTTTTGGAGAATGTGACTTTTGGGGGTTGTTTCTAACTTGTAATATTGTGGGGTAATTCCAGGTTGTATCAGATCCAGAATTACCATGGACTTTGCCAATTTGATGCTTTCCTAAATAAAAGAATTTATTGTTTTGGAAGATGGACTTTGATCAAGGCCATTATGAATACATTCCAAACACTACTGTGCAAACCGTTGAAACTATAATAACTTTTATAATTTTATAACCTTTCCATCTCTTTCCCTCGTGCAAGATGTTCATAATTGTACTTTTGTTAGGAACTAAACTTTGCAAGGCAGAAAATGAGGAAGACCAATACAATTCTTCCAATTGTTAGAATCAACTTCTTTTGACTTAAGCATCGTATGTGATTGCTGCTTTATGTAATATATATTAGAGGTGGAGATCTTTTGATAGCTGTATGCAATGAAATTTCATTTTAATGTATGCCAATTAGTGTACATTCAAAGTGACAATAAAGTTATTGTAAGTCTCAGTGGTTCATTCATTCTGCTAGAGTAGAAACTTAATCTTTCTTTGTTCTTAGAATTTTAAAATTGTCATAAATGCATGACTATATTAGGAAGATGGGCTAAGACTTGTCATTCCATATAAATTCCATATAAAGATGGAATGATATATAAATAACAAGAAAATAAGTCAAGGAAACAGTTGATCCACTAAAGAGAGAATTTTGCAAGGAAGTAACAGTCAGTAGAGAGAAAGCAGAGCTGCTTAACCTATTTGTTGCATCCATCTTCATGCAAAAAAGAAATTATAGCCCAACCTATCAAAAACATAACTGTAAAAGACAGATTAGAAATAAAAATTAAAATAAGCAAGAAAATGGTAGAACACCTGTCTGATCTTGATGAATATAAACCTCCAGGATCTGATGGATTACATCCCAGTACAAAGAAGAGCAACTAAGGTGATTAAAAGGCCTGGAGACTAAAACATATGAAGAACAGTTTCAGGAATTGGGTATGGTCAGTCTGGAGAAAAAAAGGACTAGGGGGTTACATGATAGCAGTCTTCCAGTATTTGAGGGGCTGCCACAAAGAAGGGGGTCAACTTATCTCTAATGATCTAAGTGCTAGAGCCCACTGTAACAACATTGCCAAAAAGGCATTAAGAGTTGTTAACCTGCGTAGCTTTTTCTCTGCTTTTTCTCTGCTTTTTCTCTGGTAAAAAACTAGAGCATACAAAACATTTGCTAGACCAATTCTTGATTACAGCTCATCTACCTGGAACCCACATTGCATATTGGACATTAACACAATTGAGAGAATCCAGAAATATCTCACGAGAAGAGTCCACCACTCCTCTACTTGCAACAGAATACCTTATGCCTCCAGACTTGAAATTTTGGGCTTAGACAACTTAGAACTATGCCATCTTCGGTTCGACCTAGGCATAGTACATAAAATTATCTATTGCAATGTCCTACCCATCAATGATTACTTCAACCACAACAATACACGAACACACAATAAATACAAATTCAAGGTAAACTGCACCAAACTCAATTGCAGGAAATATGACTTCATCAACGGAATGGTCAATGCCTGGAATGCACTTCCTGACTCTGTGGTTTCTTCCCCAAACCCCAAAAACTTTATGTTCTGATCCAAACATGAACCAAAGGGAACAGATACTTTTTAATGATTCTTACGAATCCCTGGTTAAAAGGCTGCTGCAAACTAATTAACTTTGATAAGCACAAGCCTCACCAAAACTGTGTGAGGTTGCCAAGAATAACAGATAAGAAATGTTTTGCAACACAAGAGTCTTCAAATACCAACTTAAGATACTGCAATGTCCACAAGGCTGGAGTTTCAAAACATTTTTGCTTCCTACAAAGAATGTTCGATTCACAGCTGGCTTTTATCTTCTTGAAGGAGGGGCCATTACTTGCAGCCTTACTCCCGAGTCACCCCTGCTGCTGCAGCTGCTCTTTCCTGAGATCAGCTCTGCACACATGTGCACTGGGCACAGGCTCCTCGGGAACCTCCTCACCATTGTCGCCAGCCCCCACAATTTCTGAAGGCAGCAGTCCATTCCCTAATGGTCCTGTCCCCTCATCTGAGTCCTTGCTCCCCTCAGCTGTTCGCACCTGCTGCCGGCTAACCACAACACTTTAACCTTAGACTGTCTACCATGGACCTCACCCTATTCCTAGGAGACCTGTAAGGGGGCGTGCACAAGTGCACCAATTGTGTCTACCATCCCTGTCCATATGTTCCCTCTTTATTCGTATCCATTTCATGTATTCATAATCATCTTTATACTTATATCTGTTATCTAATACATGCTTGACAAATAAATAAATAAATAAATAAATAAATAAATAAATAAATAAATAAATAAATAAATAAATAAATAAATCTTGAGAAAAGACTGGACAGCTATCTATCTGAAATGGTATAGGGTCTCCTGCTTGACCAGAGGGTTGGACTAGCAAACCTTCAATGTCCCTTTCAGCTCTGTTCTGATTGACTCCCAATGTCCTAAAAGACACAGAAAACTCACTCCCACAATCCTGAAAAATTGCTGCTAATAATCTACAGAATACAGAATAACAGAGTTAGGAAGGACCTTGGAGGTCTTCTAGTCCAACCCCCTACTCAAGCAGAAGACCTTCAAAGAAGGCTGCCTTCAATGGGCAACACTTTAAATTTCATCATCTTGATTTGGCTCAACTGATTTGCTCCCTCAGGTTCTCTTCCAACCCTCTCCATCCAGCCTTTGCCAGACCTCTTCATTCCACTTTGAGGAATGTCTTGAGCAACTTGCCTGTTTGATTAGAAATGGTCCCTTCTGGGCAAGAAATACATTCGTAGCAGCAAATGAGCCTCCCCTCTGCAACTTTCCTGACCTGTCCTGGAAGGCAGTACTGCACACATCGGGAGAAAGGCTTTGTCTGAAAGAAGAGATTTTAGCGTTGAGAGGGTAGAAACATTCAGCTCGGCTACAGGATCTGTATAAAAGTGTCCCCTCTCACTCCATTTTGATTACTACCAACCTGCCTTCCATGGAGGACCTGTATACTGCATGAGTCAAAAAGAGGGCTGTGAAAATATCTACAGATCCCTCACATCCTGGACATAAACTGTTTCAACTCCTACCCTCAAAACGACTCTAAAGAGCACTGCACCAAAACAACTAGACACAAGGGGAGTTTTTTTTCTTTCTGAAAGCAATCACTCTGCTAAACAAATAATTCCCTCCAATCTGTTGAACTATTTACTCAGTCTACATTACTATCACTATTAATCTTCTCATCACTCCTATCACCCATCCCCTCCCACTAATGACTGTATGACTGTAACTTTGTTGCTTGTATCCTTACGATTTATATTGACTGTTTCCTAGTATGATTTGATTGTTGATTGTACCTTATGACTATCATTAACTGTTGTATATTATGATTCTTGATTCTTAACGAATGTACCTTTTCTTTATGTATACTGAGAGTATTTACACCAAGACAAATTCCTTGTGTGTCCAATCACACTTGGCCAATAAAGAATTAATTAATTAATTAATTAATTAATTAATTGGAGTTTTCATTTCAACAGCCCATTCCCCTTTACTTCCCTTAGCCCTGGAAGCAGCATTTGGTCCCCACCTGATTAGCCCATACAATGGCATCAGGATTGATGCTGAAGCCTTCAGCTGAAGGAACCTCCATATCAACCCATCCGACTTTCTGTTGAAGGATCGTCATATTTGCAAAGACGATCCAGTTGAGGATGTCAAATCCTGCATATTTCATCCCAGTTTCTGAAAAGGAGACTTTCTCACCAGCAGTGTTGTTAAAGGCATAGTTTTTCAAGAAGGTGTGGATCTGAAATTGTAAAACAAGCAAACACACAAGTCCATTAAAACAAAGGTGGGCTACAGATACTGTAACAACCAGTTCGCCAAAAATGTGAGCACATGCGCATGGCTGCGAAAACAAGGGGATTTCCTGTGTGTGGCAGCTGCATTAAGTAGAGTGGGAGAGGCACAGAAAGAAGCTCGGTGGTTGTAATGAGCAGTACAGGTGAGCTGGTCTGAATCAGCAGCAGCCCACCACTGCATGAAAGGGAAGCAAGTCAATACAAAGAGTTTTAAAATTATAATAAGTGGAAGAAATATTATTCTGAATGTGGGAAAAAGAAAGAGAGATGGGGTTAGCCAGAATTTCTCCAATAGTCCTTTTACAGGCAATCTGTTTATTTCTTTTAGTTCATTATGCACTGCTGCAGAACTACAATAGCAAGTGTGCTGTTAGCTGATGGAGAAAGCAACCTTTGGTGAATAAGAGGGCAAATAAATTTCACCTTAAGGAAAAGAAGAAAATTATTTCCCCCACAAATGAAAAGTGTGGAGGGAGACAAATATGCCTGTCTTAAAACAAGATTTCATTTAGTTTGTAAAATATGACCTGTTGTTACACCAGAATCCCAAACTGAGCTGTAAGTTGAGGCAAAGTTCCATTTCTGGACTGACTAAATCTTGAGCTTCAAGGATTGGATCTACACACTATTGCAAAGGGAAAAAAAGGTGCTGCAACTTTGGTAAGATAGAAAAAAAATGTGAGATAGACAGGGCCACCCAAATATGGATTCACAACTGCTGACCAACCATACTCAACATGTAGTCATACTCAACTAATCAACTCTAATGGAATTAGAGTTACGTGGAGGGAAGTATGCGGTGGGTACCCCAGGGTACTGTTTTAGGCTCAGTACTATTCAACATCTTCATATGTGATTTGAATGAAGGGATAGATGGGGAACTCATCAAATTTGCAAATGACACTAATCTGGGGGAATAGCCAACACTTTGAACAATAGGCTTAAAATTGAGAAGAATGTTGACAGACTTGAACATTGGGCTCTATCCAATAAAATGCAATTCAGTGGACAGAAAAGTAAAGTTCTACATTTAGCAAGAAAAACCTGGCACAGAGATGCACAGTAGAATAGGTTATATCTTGCCCAACAGCAGTAACTGTGAGAGGAATCTGAGGGAAGACATAAATGGTATGTTCCAATATTTGAGGGGCTTCCACAAAGAAGAGGGGGAAAACCTATTTTCCAAAGCATCTGAAGGCAGGACAAGAAGGAACAGATGAATGAATGAATGAATGATTTTTTTATTGGCCAAGTGTGATTAGACACAGAAGGAATTTGTCTTGGTGCATAAGCTCTCAGTGTATATAAAAACAAAAGATACATTCATCAAGTATCATAAGGTACAACACTTAAGGATAGTCATAGGGTACAAATAAGCAATCAAATCATACTAGGAAACAGTCAATATAAATCGTAAGAATACAAGAAGGAACAGATGAAAACTAATCAAGGAGAGAAGCAACCTAGAACCAAGGAGAACTTGCCTGACAGTTAGAACCATTAATCAGTGGAACAACTTGCCTCTAGAAGTTGTGAATGCTCCAATACTGGAAGTTTTTAAAAAGATGTTGGATAACCATTTGTCTAAAATGGTGTAGGGTTTCCTGCCTAAATGGGGATTGGACTAGAAGACCTCCAAGGTCCCTTCTAACTCTGTTATTCTATTCTATTCTATTCTATTCTATTCT